AGAGAGAGAGAGAGAGAGGGGGGGGAGAGAGAGAGAGAGAAATAAGAAAATACTGAAATGAAGTTATCTTATTAAATAATACACCGCTTCCAAAGAAATAGACATTTAAAAAATATTACGACAAAAGAGACGATGTAGACAACTTTTTGTTTACTTTATGAGATGCGCTCATTTTGTTTTGTATCGACACTCTGTCTGAAATTAGTGTATTACCTTCTAGGTAGTAAGATTTTCAGAAAATACCAAGAGCACGAACACGGTGGAGCATTTAAAATACCTTGAACGGTACCCAAGTTGACCCTTACAGGCAGGGTCAAAGTATCTAACTTGTGTTAATAGACACGTAAATTTTTTTTACAAATTACTTTGAATTTTAATGACACATCGACTGCTATGTCTGTGCGTGTCAGAAGAAAATTTGAACAAATCATCATGAGATTGCTTGTCACTTCAGTTGATAAAACAGTGGAACTGTGTATTAATTGCCCACTTGGTATGAAGTGTATGCGCGCTGTTGATGGGAAAAGGGGGAGGGGGGTAAAATCATCCTCACGAAGACACAACATGATTCAAAATATTAAATCTGTGTTGAATTCAAAGGGGTATAAGTCTCAAAACCAGGCGTTACGCAAAACTCACCTTCAATGTCAAGGTCAGTATCATAGTCCTCGTCAGTTACCCGCACCTCCACCGTCTCCATGGGCACATGATCCAGGGTGAACTCGTCGTCTTTCTCTGGGATCTCCTCATCAACGTTCTCTTCAGCAGCTTGACTCTCCTCTGGTTCACCTTCTTCTTCCTCTGTCGTCTCTTCTGTCTTTTCTGGTTCCTTCACTCCAGTTTCTTCTTCTTTTTCGTCATCTGATGCCTATCAGATTAAAAACAAAAGCAATAAGAACAAAAGTAGAACCCAAATAAGTTGCACTGCACAGACTTACAATATACGTCAAGTCTTTAGAAGAGGCTCAGTCGATCTCTCTGGAAATACTGGACGTAGCCTCATTTAGAGAGCGAGTTGCACTGTAATAAATTATGAATACAAGTTCTGACAGGTTGAACATCGACCTCCCACCCCTACTAAAATATTCATGTGTTGTGAATCAAACGTTTCGTCTTTGTCGTAACGATTTATTTCTGCGCCTTGCAGGACATTATGGCAATATTTTCTTCTTTTTATTTATCTTCCTCTTGTTTGCTTTGTTTCTTCTGTCTACGCTTTTCTATCTTCTTTTCTTTTCTTTTCCATTTTTTGTCTCTTTTTTTTCTTTTCTTTTTTGGCGGGGGGGGGGGGGGGTGGGCTGGGGGTGTTGGGCGGGGTGGATAGATTTGTTTTTATTCTTGTTTTTTGTCTATATGTGGACTCCTCTTTTGGTGTGTGTAAGGCAGGACGTAAGACCCGACACAGTGTTGAATATCTTTTTAAAAGATAATTTTTTTCAAATACATTTTTTTTAAATTACATTATGTATTTTTTAAAAACACACAGGTAAACACTAGAAAAGTGGACCTAACCTGTAGCTCTGTGATGAGCACCCCTGCCTCCTCTGCAGTGGGTAAACCATCGTCCTCGCCCCCCGGGGTGATCATGTGACTTGGTGTGCGCGTGAAGGCAGCCCGTGAGCTGATCTTGGGGATCCTAGAGGCCTTGGACGTTGGCCGGCCAGACATATCGTCCTCTCGTGGAGCGGAGTCTTCAGCTGGGAAAGATAATCCAAAAGACGACTACATGTATTGTGGAAATATCTATCTATCTATCTATCTATCTATCTATCTATCTATCTATCTATCTATCTATTTATCTATCTATCTATCTATCTATCTATCTATCTATCTGATCCAATCAATGAGTTGAGGAGGGGAGATCAATCCATAATCTTCCAACTTAGAACACAACATGTACGCCTCAACCAACATCTCAACCGAATTGGTGTAAAGCAGTCTGCTGCCTGCCCACTATGTGACTACCCCTCAGAGACAGTGGAACATCATCTGTTTTTCTGTAGAAAACTAACTGATTTAAAGGGATGTTTTCTTCCCAAGCTACCCCACACATCTAATTGCCTCTACTCCTCAAGACAACAGTTAGAAAAAACATGCAACTATTACCGAATGGCATCATGCAAAAGAGTTAACGCTTAGATGCTACTGGATCGCTAACAACAACAACAACAACAACAACAACAACATCTATCTATCTATCTGTCAGTCTGTCCGTCTTTCTATCTATTTATCCTTCTCTCTATCTATTTATCTCTCTGTTTATTCCTCTATCTATCTATCTATCTATCTATTCATCTATCTATCTATCTATCTATCTATCTGTCTATCTATCTGTCTGTCTGTCTATCAATCTATTACACTTCCTCGGTGGTTCCTCCCACCCCCTTCTCCTTTTCTCTCTCTTTTTCTCTGTCTCTTTGTCCCTCCGTCTGTCTGTCTGTTTGTCTGTCTGTCTCTTTCTTTTTCTCTCTCTTTCTCTCTCTTTTTCTCCCTCTCTCTCTCTCTCTCTCTCTCTCTCTCTCTCTCTCTCTCTCTCTCTCTCTCTCTCTTTCTCCCTCTCTCTCTCTTTCTCCCCCCCCTCTCTCTCTCTCTCTCTCTCTCTCTCTCTCTCTCGCTCTCTCTCTCTCTTTCCTTCTTTCTCTCCTTTGCACTCATGTACACGCGCGCGCACACACACACACACACACACACACACACACACACACACACACACACACACACACACACACACACACACATACACTCACAAAAGCATAGGCTGGTGTGTACACGCCCGTGGAGACAGATTTTAGCAACAAAAGCAATACCATTCATAGCTGCAGCATCAGTATTGGTGTCAGCAGCAACAGCTTTAGTAGCACCATTTCTCACCCTTACAACTAATACCACCACAACCACCGTCACTTTCATATACAACAACAACAACAACAACAACAGCAACAACAACAAAAGCAACAACAACAACAGCTTCAACAACAACAACAAGAAACAACAACGACAAAGACGACAACAAAAATAACAACAACAGCAGCAGCAGCAGCAGCAGCAGCAGCAGCAGCAGCAGCAGCAAAGATCGTGTATACCAAGATGTTTCAATTTCAATTGCCCTATCTCGCGTCGCAAGACTTGGGCGTGCCCTAGTGCGTGACAGCCCGTGATACGAGCTTAAACAAACGTTCCCACGCTCTTGAGTGGAACGCGTGCAATTTTGTCTGCGGGCAGTGAGAGAGAGAGAGAGAGAGAGAGAGAGAGAGAGAGAGAGAGAGAGAGAGAGAGAGAGAGAGAGAGAGAGAGAGAGACAAAGAAAGGGATGTTTGTTATTAAAAATAAGAATTATTGTTTCCTAACATTTTCTTCCTGCGTCGGTTTTCAGGCTGACCCGGAGCTATACAATCATTGTAGTACACATATGACCAGTCCCACCTTCTGAATCCCGCCTTCTGTTTCCCATCTCTCACCTCTTGTTTCCCATGTACCGTATCCAATTTTCCATATCCCATATTCTGTAAGCGCGCTTCGTTTTCCTTCATCTCATGGGGTGGAACGCTTGAAGCAGGCCAAATACTAATTATAAATATTATTATACATCACTGTCGCCAATGTCCTCATCAGATGTGCTGTTCAAACATTTGTTTTCAACAGCTTGATTTAATACTGTTTTATTCGGAATCAAGGCTTGGTCTCCGTGAATCTTTGGCATCAGTAGCAGCAGCCGCAACAGCAGCAGCAGGAGTAGCTGTAAAAGCATCAATAGCATCACAGCAGCAGGAATAAACAAATGCAACCGCAAAAACAACAGTAGAAACAACAACAAATAACGAAACAACAGGTGTTTGAAATAAAGGAAATCTTTTCAAGACAGTAAAAAGCGACGAAGTCACGACAATGCTTACTGAGGGGTAGGCGAACATTTTCTGGGTCGGGGGGAGTCTCTTCTGTGGTTTTACCCTCTGTATTTCCATTATCAACGCCATTGCTGTCTTGTGGTTCTTGGGGGGTCTGTGTGGGGAAAGAAATATATCATTTTAGACTGACAAACTAGATTCGGGAGCGAAAAGGGGTCAGATTTACATAATGTACATGCTAAGGGAGCATACTCCGTCTTCATGATATTTGAGGGTCAAATATTGCAGTCACTTCCCCTGTCCCTTACTGAAAAGACAAAGCGAAAGGAAATGACAAATTTTTTAGCTAAGCGACAAGCGAACAGCCCAGTGGTTGGGGATTTAGGCTAGATCTAGATCTAGTTTACTTGATCGTACTTTGCGTAATTAGATTTACTTTTCAGCAGCACTATGGACAGTAATTATTGCTTATTTTGTTACTTTTGTCATTATAACAATTTGCCAAGCACAGCAGTCAGCAGGACTTGACCAAATCGCGGCATGGCAGTGTATTTAAACACATGAAACCCATTTGGAAAATAATTTCACAAATTTTGTTATTATCTTTTGTCAGTGTCTCGGGTAGATAGGTATCTAGATCTAGATTCTAAATTCTAAATTCAAATGTCAGGTTCTTGCTAACAACGTTTTAAAGCTATATGGTATACCTATTATTATACTGCTACCGTACTTGTATAAATTGGATAAAAGAGTTAAAAACTTGAGACTAGATCTAGATCTAGATCTCTTGATGTATATCTAGATCTAATAGTAACAGTGTAACAGGCTTCGGACACAACCTGTATTATGTATAGACTACATGTAATCTGGAAGGTCTAGATCTAGATTAGATCTAGATCTAGAACTAGATCTAGAAGATGTCTTGACGTCTAGTCTAGAAACTAGGACAGTTCAGTCGATTAAGTTTTAAAAGATTTTATAGCCTAGCCATTAAAAACAGACAGTGTGTAAATTGCACAGTGTGGAAACACTTTAGTAGGCTAGACTAAAGAGCACAAACATGTCTTTAGTCTTTAGAAACCGGGACAGTTTCCAATTTCCAAACACCGCAAACAAGCAGGCAGCTGCCAGTACTCAGCTGTGGAAGAGCAGCTTGACTAACGGCATAGAGATATATGGGATGTTTCGCACCAATCGATAGGAAGCGTCGGTGGTGTAAAGGTTAGCATTGTTGCCTTCCAAGCAATAGATCCGGGTTCGATTCCCGGCTGACGCATATTTTTTTTTCTCATTTAATTTTGATTAACTACACATAATCAGTCTCTGTTTAGACTTTCGGTGCCGGTATTCTGATTTTAATTATTGTATTATTTTTGCCAACTCCCTCTGCCCCCCTCTGCCTGTCTTTCTCTCTGTCTTCACTCTCTCTCTCTCTCTCTCTCTCTCTCTCTCTCTCTCTCTCTCTCTCTCTCTCTCTCTCTCTCTCTCTCTCTCTCTCTCTTCGAATGACATACATCTCAGGTTCCGTTATCAAAACCTACCTGCTTTTGTAAACAGCTAAAATCTTCAGAGAACTGTGTATTCTTGTGAGCACAGCCAATAATAGAAATAATTATAATTCTGCTATTGGCTATTGGTAGGTTAGCACGTGTGAACTGGTGTGCATTTCATTGCCTCGAGTCAAATTACATGTAGATCTAGATCTATGCTTTTTAAAGAGAGATGTGCCAACAATGTACACCTTCTCTATACAAGTACTTCGGTCAAAGATCATAATTGATGTTCTAATTTGCTAAGAAAATCAAATTAAATCATTGACTGTTAATACAGACACCACGCAGGAGCACATCTCTAGGCTTGGCTCATAGCCTTGAGTTGTCTTTTAATGAGTGTGTGTGTGTGTGTGTGTGTGTGTGTGTGTGTGTGTATGTGTGTGTGTGTGTGTGTGTGTTTGTGTGTGTGTTTAAAATTTTGTTGTTGTTTTTGTTTTGTTGGAGGGGGGTTGGGGTTGTTTTTGTATGTTTTTGTTAGTTTTGTTTTTTTAGGGCGGGGGTATTATTATCTTGCGCCGAATAAAAAGATTGCTTCCCTGTCTCAGACTTGGCAAGGGTACAAACAGAAACCAAACTACAGTGTTAGAGACATAGGACTTGTCATAAAAGGAAGGCGTGTTATTGCACTGTGGTCGGCACCAACACTGAACACAAGCTGCACCTGAATGATTTTCCACAATCCATTCGATCTAGATCTATAGCCTGGGGCCACGAAGCCCAGCTTGTAATCCACATACAAATAATATGATTATAATCACTGCTGGTCACGGAAACTCAATACTGGCCTTGACTTTTTTTTACGATTTTTGAAAGTGGGGTGGGTGTTAAATTGGAGCAATAGGAGCTTGCAGTTTCACTTTTTGAAGACTACTATAATACATGTATGGAGAGAGAATCAAGCACAGCATTCAAGCCTGCAGTAGGATTGGCAGACAATTGAAATAACAGAAGCATGTCTCTCGGGAAATAGTGGAAGGGGGTGGGGGTGAAGACTGATAGGTAATTAATCAAAATTTTGGTAGGCCTATGTCCATTGATGGGGGACAGAATAAAATGATGCTACAACTTCTATAAAGATCAATTCTTTTCGAAGTAACCTTTGAATTAGAGAGTCATGTCAAGGCTCTTTTATTGTTTTCCGTGGCATACGAGTCTGGGTGGAAATTTGCACATAACATACACTTGTAAGCATCTCTTCAAGTAAAGACAGACGCACCAAATACAAAACATAACGGCAGCCTTCTCTTCCTTCCTTCCTTTCTCCTCCTCCTCCTCCTCCTCCTCCTCCTCCTCCTCCTCCTCCTCCTCCTCCTCCTCCTTCTCCTCCTCTTCATCCTCCTCATCATCATCATCATCATCATCATCATCATCATCATCATCATCATCATATTATTATTATTATATTATTATTATTATTATTATGTTGTTGTTGTTGTTACATGTAATATTGTTATTATCATTATTATTATTATTGTTATATTAATATTATTATTATTATTATTATTATCATTATTATTATCATTATTATTTTTCTTTTTTTTTTTTATCAACCTATGACATTGAACCTCCTGCATTGATACCTATTCTCCAACCAAGTGAGAAAGTAATTAGTAATCATATTATTTTATCATCATTATTAATTATGTGTTTGTATGCTTGTGCACGTGCGGGCGCACCTGTGTGTGTGTTCGTGTGTATGTGTGTTTGTGTGTGTTTGTGTGTGTGTTTGTGTGTGTGTTTGTGTGTGTGTGTGTGTGTGTGTGTGTGTGTGTGTGTGTGTGTGTGTGTGTGGTGAGGGGGGGGGGAGGTGGTACCAACGCGATTGCAACGTTCGCTTTTAAAAGATTCGTTTCCAGGAGTTGAAACATGAAACCAAAATTAAATAGATCTATCCATCAACTGCATTGAGAGACTGGTTTATCGACATAGACGTGTGTGGAAAGGGGGAAAGAAAACTAAAGGAAAAGAAGGGTGAATTTTAAGGTGGTTCTTTCCATTGAAAAGTTGTATCGATGCAGGTTTACTCTTTTATGGAAACACACTTTTGAAAATAAAGATAATTTAATAAAATTACTCTTACTCATAAGGTAAAATCTTTGCTGTTGGAATGTGTCGCCAAACGTCTCTAACTCTGCGTTTGACGATGAAATTTAATTAGTGCATGATGTATTTCTATTTAGATTTATGATATATATGAAAACTGAATAAATATTAGTGGCATTTGCAGCAACAGCCGGACGTGAAGGAAGAAAGGGGTGGGGTGGGGGGAGGGGGGGAGTAATAGGGTGCTAGCAGAAGCAGCAGTATTTTGATAGTACGAGCGATGGGAAAGTTAGGGGAGTATAAATCATAATCCTAGTCTGGCGGGCAACCTTTTTAGTTCGAGGAAATGTTTCCAAGCTGTGCTAAGCTCGTGTATGTCGACTCTGTGTCTGTGTGTATTTGTGTGTTTGTGTGTGTGTGACTGAGCCCAGTCAACATGTTTTGATCTTGTATGGAGTACCACAAGAGTCAGCTTGGACCCAAATTTATATAGGCCTACTTTAAACACGTTATCTATTAGGCCTATTATTAAAAGCTTGTTTATATTTTCACACGTTTATCGCTGGCACTCAGCTGAAAATCAGCTTTCCAATCAGATATTGATTCGTCAACATGGCCAAAGGCATGGACGTTAAGATAATAAGTTTCAGCTTCACCAAGAAAAAATATTTTTTATATATATAGATTAATGTAAGCTATGTATCATTACGTGTGTACGCGAGTGTGTACGTGTGTGTGCTCGTGTGCTATTCTTTGTCGCCTCTCCCAGAACACGGCGTTCCGATTCGCTTCATTGATTCAGAAGCAAATCGATTTTGTTTTCCCAGTTTCGTGCGTGGCTGGACTCTCTCTCAGACTGATCGTTTAACCACAACGAATCAGGTGTCGCTATTGACTGAGGACCTAATAGTCAGTGAAATCGTTGTGAAACCAAGCAAAGAACAGAACAATTAAGCATTGTACTGTTGCCATTGTGTTTGCCAACATACGGCGTTGGACACAGTAAAGAGGGACCACCTATCATAATATTTATGATACTGCAAAAGATTTAATGCCGTTCAGTAATTACTACAGGCTTTTTCTTCTTCTTCTTCTTCTTCTTCTTCTTCTTCTTCTTCTTCTTCTTCTTCTT